GTCTCCAGTCCCGCCCCCCACCCCGCTCCGGTCCTTCCCCCTCTCTCCCTGTCGGGGAGACGTTTGGCTCGAGTAAGCCGGAACTGGGGTTTGCCGATTGTTTTTTTGACGAGCGCGTCCTGGATTTTGACGGTCCCGTTTTCGTGGGATGTCTGCAGCGGGAGCCCGCGTCAAATTTCAGATTCGGTCTCGTCATTTTTATGATGGCCCCCGTCAGGTCAACCCGAGTCCCCCATACCCGGGTCTTACGTTTCCCTGACCCTGGGCGGGCGGAGGGGGAGGCGCGAGGTGGACCTGCGCGAGATGCAGGAGGGAAAGGAGCACACGGACACAAAGCATCCTCGGCTCCCAGGAGCAGATGGGAAAGCACGGGAAGTGGGGGGGGGAGACGTTCGAGAGAGTATGGAGAAAGATGGGCGGGCCCTGGAATTTGTGTCTGTCTGTTTGTGTGCCCCTGGGCCCCTTTTCAGAGAGATCTCGCCCTCCTCCCCGGCCCGTCGCGGCGGCCGGGCGCGGCTTGGGCAGCTCCCCGCGAGGCTGGGCTTAAGTCAGGCCTGTCCCTCTGCAGGAGGAATACATGCCAAAATGGTCAAAAAAAATAGTAAGTGGACGATCTTTTGACTGTGTTTGACCATTTGGGGGTATTGTGGTTTTGGTTGGATCCTCCAGACTCCCCCTGTAGGGGGACATGCCCGACCTGAGGCTGGGCCGCAGGAGACCTGGCCAGGCTCGGTCGGGCGAGGGCGGCTGGCGCCGTCGTCGGCGTCGGCGCCGCTGTCGTCGGCGCCATCCCACCTGTGCGAGTTCAGAGGAGGAAGAGGCACCCATACCTCTACTCTACCCTTTCCTCGTTCTCCCCGTGTTGGGCCTCCTCGGAGGCCCTCGTCGCCACCGTCGGATTCGCCTCGAAATTCTGGTCAGAACGCACCCCGGGAGAGGTCCGGGGAGTAGCGGTATCGGTACCTTTTGAAGTCTCCACGAGTGGCTGGGGAGCGCGCCTGGCGGAAAGAGCGACGGACGGCTCTGTTCGGGGGCGGCAGCGAGGGGGGGGGAGTGACCAGGGGGGGGGGGATCATGGTGGGGGCCATGATGTCTCCCCAGATTCTACGGCGCGTCTTCTCACATTTCAGTACGTTCCTGGCCCCCCCCCCTGGGCCGCCCGCATGCCGCGGGCCATGGTTTGCGCCCCCCCTTCTTGGACGCCCCCCTCTTGGATGCCCCCGATCTACGGCAGGCGCGCCGAATAAGAGGTTGGCCTGCCAGCGCGTGCCCCACGATCGGCGCTTGTCCCCCGACGGGCCCCGCGGGGCCCTGGGGCACCCGACGGAGCTCGGGGGTAGAAGGATGTGCCTCCAGATCTCACATGGGAGGGTCTAGTAGGGTACGTGCCTGCTGTACCCATGCTGCTCCTCATCCATCTCCAGAGGGGGAGAGACGGACGAGTGAATGCCCCTTCCGAGCAGCGCACCCCCTCCGAGGGAGTCTCTTTAGTTGTGCACGAATGCGTGGGGTACCTAGAAGCCCGCGGTTTTCCGATGATGAGTAGAAGGACGAGGCGGCGACGGAGGAGGAGGTTGGGGTGAAGAAGGTTGAGGAGGAGGAGGAGGAGGAGGAGGAGGAGGAGGAGGAAGAGGTCGAGGAGCAGGAGCATAAGGAGTAAGAGGAGGAGGTGGAAGAGGAGGAGTAGAAGGAGGAAGAGGAGGAGGAGGAGGAGGAGGAGGAGGAGGAGGAGGAGGAGGAGGCGGCCGAGTTGTTTCAGGCCCTCAGGTGGAGGATGATGAGGAGGAGGTCCAGGGCCGCACTCATCGCGCAACTAAAATGTGCATCGAGGGGGGGTGGGGGGGGGCAACAAGCGGCAAATGTAGCAGAGGCAACGGCACCGACATCATATACTGCAACAGCATCGAGTGGAACGACCAGGTGTCTCCCCGCACCAATGGGGCCCCCACCGCCGACGATCCGCGCTACCTGAAGGCGCACAACACAAGTGCCGGTGCGCCCAAGGCGCCACAGATCATAACGGTCGATGAGGCACCTCAAAATATCGATGTGCAGAAAATCGAACACACCGACGACGAGAGTACCATCACCGACCACGCGCGGTCGCCGCGGTACGAAGCGTCCGCCCGCCGCTGTCGCCAGGAGGAGCCCTACACCAACGGCTACGTCGCGCAAAACCTCGCCAAGAGCGACGACGGCATACGACACCTTCACGGCTACGCCCACACCACTTGCTATCCGATTGCCACCGCAGCAGACCAAGCAGCCACCATTTACGCGCGCCGACGTCCAGACCGAGACCGAGGCCCAAGCCAGAGGCAGCGACCACCCGCACCAAGACACTACGCCCGAACCAGGTAGCAACGACGACAAGAGCCACCACGGCAATCAGAGCGACCTGACGCAGGCCAACATTATTCATTACAACGAGCGCAATCCTGGTGACAGCCAGGCAAGCGCGAGCCAGACTGACCATCCGCCACCTGATGCGACAGAAGATGGATACTTCCCCATCACGGTCTTATTCAGAGAGGCGCTGAACCACCCCGACGGGGATGTCAACCAGGTCCGCAAGGTTTACCAGGATTGGACACCTCAACATAAGCACAGCAAATTCTGTCTCTCCATCAAGAAGGACGAGAACAGCACCACTTGGACCGAGCCGCCACCCAACTCGAGAGCGTGAACACCCACCAGCTATTGGGCGAGAGCGCGAACACACACACACACACACACACACACACACACACACACACACACACACACACACGCACACGCACACCGGCTATTCTGTGTGGGGGTGGCGAGCCAACGACGACGACGCACACCAAGCCCATAAACATGGCGAAGATCATAAGCCACTTCGCCGCCACGCCGAGGGAGCAGACCCAAGCAGCATGATCGAGTGCGAAGCGTACGTCGTCAGCATCACCGACACCATCGTGAACCTCCGCCCTGCCATGGACACAAAGGACTTGGACGAGTACCGCACGATCGTTCACGACATCGTCTACCGCACCATCTACCACGAAATGACCGCGGGCCGTTGCACCCGCCAGGCGGAGACACACAGCAGTCCCGCTGCGGATACAGGGTCCAGTGGTGGCAACCACCATGACCAGCTCCACTAGCCTACCAGTCCGACACCACTCGCCAACCATGCTTCAGCCTTCTGCTACCCCTCCAAGGATAGGCGGACACGGGGCGCTGCGAATAGCCGCGCACGCGGCAACGACCTCATCTACGGGCCTGGCAACTTACGGTCCCTTGCCCAGTTCTGGCTGCAGGACCCGTGGCACGGGCCACCCTCACCTCGAGGAGCACCAGCACCAATGCCACCCTCTCCCAGCGTCAGACTTCTCAGGTTGCAGCCGCCTTCGCGGGACGCAGCTCTCCCATGTGTCCACCATGTTTGCCCCTACAGACGACTCTCGACCTTCAGTTGGCTACCAGTTGACTCACCATCTCTCGCGGCTCCACCTGACCCAACCTACACACTCATTGCCCATGGCACTACCCACGACCGAACGGGGCAGCCTTCCTCACCCACCACTGCTGCGCCTCCAGCAGCTTTCGACAACAGTCGCCGAAAGCTCCCACACCCCTTCCGCCCTAAAGGCCCCCCCCCCCCCCCCCCCCCCCCTCCCCCCCCCCCCCTCCCTTCTCTCCTTCTCCCTTGACCTCTCCCATGCACCGGCCTGGCCACCCCCGTCGCAGGTCGGGCCCACGCCCCTAGGGGCGGAGGGCGCGGGGGCCTATTTGGGGTGCGCGGCGGGGGGCGCGGCGGTACTCGCGCGGCCGCGGGGGGCGCGGGCCGCGGGCGTTGTCGGGTTGGCCATGATGTGCGGTCTGTAGTGTGTGTGGGGCTTGTTTGTCAAACCGCGTCCATTTCGGCAGCGCTCAGGCTCTCCCGTCCCGCCTCTGTTTCCTGCTGATTTTGAATATAACTTCGGCCATCACTCAATATCTCGACTCCTTGAAGGGGATGTGTCGGTCCTTCGTATCTCCTCTTCGCTTTCGTCGACCCCCTCCCCCACCCTCACCATTTACTCGCCACCTCACCATCACTAACCCCCTGACACCCTTCCTTTTCGGCGGACCGCCACACCAAAAATTTTAGAACCTCTCCGTTCGTGGTCTCCCCTTTCCGCGTCATTCGGCCCCTCGGTTCGCCCTAAGCTTCTCGGCCCACTTCGCGCCCGTCCTTCCTTTGCCCCGTCGACGCGTTTCGCCGACCCCCACCACGCTCGGGCCCTTCCCCCACAATTGCCCCCATCCGTGCACAGACGGCTGGCGGAGGGGAGGGGGGGGGGGGGGGGGCGACGGTCTTTTGCGCTCTGAATTCAGGACTAAGGACGCCAGTTTGAGCTTCGAGGCGGGGAGGTCGAGGAGCAGGAGCAATAAGTTCGTAAGAGAAGGGGGAGGAGGAAGGAGGGGGAGGTCGGAGGCGGAAAGGATACCCATAGCGTTGCAGGCGGCGGAGTTGCTTCAATCGCTCAGGTGGGAGATGGCGGGGAGGAGCACGAGGATTCAGGGCCTCCCAAAACAGGGCATTGTTGGCAACGACTTTTGAGAATTCCACCTGGGGATGCTCGTCCCTGGTCAATTCCCGAGGGGGGTGAAACCGCGGGGCCCGGGAGGCCAGGTCGGAAGAGGAGGGGGGAGAAATTGCATGTCGTAATTTGGCTCAAGAAAAGAAAGCTGACCCACCTCTCTCCCCCAATGCGTTCGGGGGGGGGGGAGCTGAAACATGGCAGCGCGGAGCTGAGCGATGTTCCGCGGCGAGAACAACACTGCGCGACTCTAGCAGCGGAACGCCGACGTGATGGAGCAGCAGCTGCAACAGCATCAGCAACATATAGCGGAGCTGCTGCAGACAGTACAACGGCTGCAGCAGCAACGAGGAGCAGCTGGACAGGCACCAGGTCAGCCTGTTCGGATCGCCCAGCGCTTCGAGGGAGTGCTAGACGCCAAGATCATAGGAAAGGTCAAGCAGTTCGATGGCTCGAGAGCAGGCTGGTCGACGTGGGAGTTCCACTGGAGAGCCTACATTGGCGGCGAACGACAATCGCTTCAGGGATTTCTTCGAGAAGCTGGATGACAAGACCCTGGAGCAGCTCGACGACGCCAAGAACGCCACCATGAGCGTCGACGACGTTGACTGGGAGGACTTGAACACACAGCTGTACTACATGCTGGTGCTCGCGATGCCCGAAGACTCGGCAGGAGAAACCGTCGTGCGCGACGTCCTGCACGGAGAAGGCGGCCAGGCATGGATCCGCTTGAAGGCTGAGAATGCGCCAAAAGAGCCCGGCAACGTCGTGGCGCGCATGAGGCAGCTCATGTCCACGCAGTTCGCGCCGAACACGGACGTGGCGAACGAGATTGAGAAGCCGGACTTGGAGACCAACAAGTACGAGAAGGCGGCCGACGAGCAGGTGAGCGACAACATCAAGAAGGGGATCCTGATCGGCGCACTTCAGAACGAGCCAGACCTGCAGAAACACGTCTTCCGCAACCTTAGGAACCTCGCCACGTACCTCGAGGTGAAGACCGAAGTCCCGAGCGCCTTGAAGGCACAGCGCAGCTTTGACGACGATGCGATGGAGATCGGAGCGTTCAGCAAAGGCGAAGGCAAGGGCAAAGGAAAGGGCAAGGGAGACAAGGGCAAAGATAAGGACAAGAGTAAGAACAAGTTCGGACCGAAGACGAAGGACAAGCCGAGTCACCCTCGGAAGCGGCGCAGCTACTGCGAGAAGCCGAACCACGTCAAGGACGACAGCCGCAAGTTCAAGAAGGAGAACGAGGCCAAGGCGGAGGCCAAGAATAAGGCCAAGGATGAGAAGCAACAGCGGCGGGCCGCGGCAGCAGGACTGGCCGCCAGCGGAGGCGCACAACCTGCAGGAGCTCCTCATCCGCCTGGGTTCGACGGCACAGGGCAGTTCGCACGGCCACTCACGCAGCGCACGGTGTACGCGACGATGCCAGCACCTTCGGGATCGGCTTCGACGGCGAGCACGACACCGACTATGCCCCTCGGCATTCGCGGGATCAACGGCCTCATCGCGGAACAGGACACGCTCAAGCCGAAGTACATATTCACCCTCTCGGCCAAGCCGTTGAGGGCGAGGGCGAGGTCGGCCGAGCCCAGCAGGGCGAGGCGCAACGGGAGCGGTGACAGCGCTCAAATCTCGGCAGCCCGCGGCGTCAGAGGAGTCACGATAGACTCAGGGGCCTAGATCACCGCGTTCCCCTACGACACGCTGAAGAGCAAGGGCCACACGCTGGCCAAGTCGAGCATCTCCAAGCTGCAGGCCATCGACGGCGCGAAGGTACAGCACTACGGTAAGACGGACGTCAGACTGAAGACGGGCCAGGACGTGATCCAGATCTCGGCGGAGGCAGCGGACGTGGAGTTCCCCGTGATATCCACCGACGCGATCACGAAGCAGGGCAAGTCGGTCATCCACTCCCCCCTGGGCGACTGGATTGTGGACAGTCCGATCTCACCCCCGACGTCGGCCAACGCGATCAAGCTGATGAAGGACCAGGGCACGTGCTACCTGGAGCGCGACGAGATGCTGGACAGCTCCGCCGAGGGCAAGCGCGCGGCACGGATGGCAAGCATCGGCGAGCAGCAGGGCGACGGGCTGTACCTCAGCGCGGCTCGCAAGACCATGCGCGCGCAGGTGCCAGCAACAGAGGGCCGACAGCAGCTGCCGACAGTGCTCGGACCAGACCCCAGCGAGAACGTCACATTGAAGGCGAAGGCGTTCGCGAGACCTGGCCAGCCCTCGGAGGAGGAGAGGCGAGCCCATGAAGCACACCATCTTCCCTTCAGGCCGCGGCGCAGCGACTGCGTCATGGGCCGAGGGAAAGACACACCCCACGAGGTGAGCTCAGAGCCCAAGGGTGACGACGAGTACCCAGTCGTGGAGATGGACTTCTTCTTCGTGGCCACCGACGAGATCGCGAGGAAGTACCCCACGGTGAACGGCTACGTCGTGAAGGTCATCGACTTCAGGAGGCTGGAGACCAAGGAGCGCGGGGAGCTGCCCGCGATCCTGAACGTCGCGGACTGCAGGTCCAACGCCTCGGCCACGCTCTTCGGCTCCAAGCAGATCGGCGACTACAAGTCACTCTTCGTGGCCAAGCTCATCGACAGCTGGGGCCACACGGTGGTGATTCTGCTCACGGACGGCGAGAACGCGATCGTCGCCCTGGCTGAGCAGGTGAAGAAGCTCAGGTCGCATTCCACGACAGTGCGACAAGGCCCAGCGCACTCATCGAAGAGCACGGGGCGCGTGGAGGCCAGCAATGGAGCGGCGGCGGGGCCACTCCGTACGCTGCGGTTTTCACTTGAGACCAAGCTCGGCTGCAAGCTCGAACTCTCGGACCCCATCCTCGCCTTCCTCGCCAACACTGCGGGCTGGTACCTCGCGAGTTTCCAGCCGAGGAGCCACGGAGGATCTAGCTACAAGTTCCTCTTCGGCCGGGAGTACGAAGGAGAAGTGGCAGAGATCGGCGAGCAGGTGTGGCACTGCATAGTGGCTCGCGCTGCGGCGGGCCAGGGCAAGTTCGAGGCGCGCTTCGCGAAGGGCATCTGGGTTGGCATGTCAGAGTTTGACTACCAGCACCTGGTGGTGGACCTTCAGCGCGGCCTCCTGAAGGTGCGCTCGGTTCGCCGCATGCCCGAGGAGTTGCGCTGGAACGCTGAGCTCGTGAAGCAGATCGACGTCACCCCATGGGCCCCTGTGCCTGAACGCGTGAAGTCGACCATCAAGAAATTCATGTACATCACGGAGGCTATGAAGAACATGCATGGACCGGCGGACAGCTGCCCGAAGTGCGTCTACGGGCGGGGCCGGCACAGCGAGCAGCGCAGGCAGCGCTTCGAGACCATCGCGCAGGAGGGGCTCGAGGCGAAGCCCCTGGAGGAGACCAAGGGCGGCGCCGCGCTTGGCACCCCAGCGACGCCAGGGCCAGCGCCCCAGGCTTCCCCGCCAGGACCTGCCGACCACCCAGCAGCGGCCTCAGGCTCGGCAGCGGCAGCGTCCTCGGCACCACTTATAACAGCGGCAGCGCCAGCGACCCCAGGGATGGAGGCGAGCGCGCCTAAGGCCCTGGAGAGAGACCCAGTGCAGGAGACCCTGGAGCCGAACAAGCGGCAGAGGGTCGTGGTCATCGCGGGCCTCTCGGTCTGCGAGCTGGCGGTCTGCGAGGAAGACGACGACCAGTAGGTGGACCCGCTCTGGGACCCGATCCCGTCAGGCCTCGAGCGGTGCGAGGGCCTCTGCGAGGAACACGTGGGCTGCTGCGTCTTTCGGCACGACCATGACGGGCAGCGCGCGTGCAGGAGGCGTCTCATCGGCTGCGCCAAGAAGCTCAACCCCGACGCCGAGGTGGTCGTGAGCCTGTGCGCGCTGTGGTCGAACCGCGGGGCGCACGAGAACACCGACTGGAGCGTGGACCCGAACGCGGCCGAGCCGACGGTAAAGGTCCATTACGACTATTGCACTGGCGAGCCCCTCGACGAGTTGAAGTAGTTACCAGAAGGGCAAGGCAGACGAGCTCCAGGCCATGGCCGAGTACGGCGTCCACAGCAAGATTCGCATCTCGGACTGCGAGCCTGGAGACAAGCACATCGGAGGCCCCCCCATTGTGCACGAGAAGGCCGGGGAGGTGCGCTGGCGCCTCGTGGGGCGGAGGTTGCCCACCAGCACCCCGAGGACAACCATCAGGGCACACCTCCACTCGCGATGGTTCGTGCGATCCTCAGCTTGGCGGCCAGCAAGCACGACAGCGACGGTCTGCACCGAAGGAGCATCCGCATCTGGGATGTCCGCAAGGCGTTCTTCAACAGCGACCTGCACGAGAAGATCTACGTCCACCCAGGCAGCGAGCTGTGCGAGCGAGGCTTCTGCTGGGAGCTGCACAAGGCCTTGTACGGGACCCGCTTGGCCAGCCAGCTGTGGGGCGAGAACGCGAAGGCTACCTCAGACGACGCTGGGGGCAAGGCGCTGAATGGCGCCCCTGGCATGTTCTACTTCCCCAACTTCGGCGGCGACGGCAGAGACGCCACGATGGGGGTCCACGTCGACGGCTTCACTGCGGAGGGCCACGTCGCGACGCTCGACCAGCTGGACGACGTCCTGAGCGTGGAGTACGAGGTTACCTCATCGCCGCCGCTGGGACCTGGACACCCTGGAGTTGCCCGATACCTGAAGCGCGTCTGCGGCTACGTGGACCAGCTACCCGAGACGTTGCTGCCAGGCACGCGGCGGATATCATCAAGTTCGGATCCCAGGAGGGCGCCAAGGTAGTCGACACACCCGGCACCAAGGCGATAGGAGCACCGCTGCGCAACGCGACGGACCCGATGCCCACGGCTGATGCCCGTAAGACAGCATCGGCAGGAGGGCTTGCACTCTACCTGGCGGCGGATCGCCCTGACATCATGTTCGCGAGCAAGACCATCATGCAGGACGTGAGCAAGCCGAACTACCAGATGAACGCGAGGCTCATGAGGTTGGCCCGCTACCTCGACGGGCACCAGGTCGTGGTCTGGTGCTACGAGTTGCAGGACATGCCGAAGGTGCTGAGGGCCGATGGAGACGCAGATTGGGCAGCACCTACAGCGGTGGCGCGCAAGAGCACCTCGGGAGGCGTAATCAGGTTCGGCAATCACACCTGGGACTGCTACTCGGCCAGCCAGGCCACCCAGGCGCTGAGCAGCGGCGAGTCGGAGCTTTACGCCCTCGGCTCGACCGCGGCCCGAGGTCTGCAGATGAAGTTCTTCCTGAGCGAGGTCGGGATCGAGATCAAGCTGGTGGTGGCCTCGGACAGCGCGGCTGCTCGCGGCATGGCCCAGCGGCACGGAGTGGGCAAGCCACTTGGAGCTGCGCTACCTTTGGGTGCAGGAACGGCTTCGACTACAGATGTTCGAGCTCGCGAAGGAAGACACCCGAGAGATGGTGGCGGATATACTGACGAAGTACGTGGACAAGGATAGCATGGCCAAGCACCTGCACGAGCTGAACCTGAGGATGGCGGGCACGGCCATGGTCCTCTCGACGCTCCTGGCGACTCCGAGCGCGGCGGCGACGTCGGAGCAGTGCAGGATGGTCGATGAGGGCGAGAAGCTTGGAGCGGGGCAGTCGGGAGGATTTCCCTGGCTGCTGGTGAGCTTGATCTTCGTGCTGTGCCTCATTGCCTACCTCAACGGCTGGTACGTGGGCAGGCGCAAAGCGACCTCCCAGACGGCCGAACGGGGCCCAAGAGCGGCACCGAGAGGAGAGAAGACACAGCACGAGGACCCCATCGAGTCCAGGCAGCGGCCGCCCCAGGCATCGACCCCGAGGCCGACCGCCAAGAGGCTCGAGGAAGACAGAAAGCCCAGGCAGGAGTCGCCAGAGGAGCGGACCGCTTGGAGGAGCTCGGATTACATCAACGAGCAGGAGTACACGACGCGCGAGGTTCACCGCCTGTACGAGACCTACACCGTTGGCGAGCTGCGGGACCTGCTAGTCGAGCGGAGCATGCGGCTCAAGGAGGGCTGCACCAGGAAGGAGGAGCTCGTCGAGACGGCCAGCGCGACCAGCCCGATGGAGATGCAGTTGGTGACCCAGATGACCAACAAGCTGAAGGACCACGGGATCGACGTGAAGTGGCAAGCTCGCATGCTGGCGAGCGGGCGCAGGATCAAGAAGATGCTGGCCACCACCACGGAGGTGCTGAACTGCCTGCAGGAGCGCTACGGCTGATCACCGAGGCGCAGAACGCAAATGAGGGCCGTTTGCCCGCTCTCTTCGCCCGCGACCTTGAGGAGAGGTGCTCGTCCCTGGTCAATTTCTGAGGGGGCTGAGCCCGCGGGGTCCAGGAGGCCAGGTCGGAAGAGGAGGGGGGGGAACTGCATGTCGCAATTTGGCTCAAGCAACAAGGTGATTCACCTCTCTGCCCCAAAACTTCCGGGGGGAAGCTGAAACAGGAGAGAGCCCAAGAATGGAGAACGCTGCGAAACCCTGAGTCCATGTTTACGGTCAGGAATGTGGGCTTCGCGTGAATGTCCGCCGGTTGTGGCCCACCACGCTTGGGCGCGACATGCGATCCACGTCCCAATCCCACGGCGTCAGCGTCCTGAGTGTTTCGCAGCGCCCCAGCCTGCGGAGCTGAGCGACACGCAATCGTCTTGCAAGGCATAGCGTATAGCGTGCCATCGGGGCCGCCGCCGCGGCACGCTAATCATAAGAACTCGACCGTATCGAAGTCCTGGCTTATCAGAATCAAATGTCCTTATGTATCAAGATTCCCTTTTAGGTGGCCCTGAATTCAGGGCCCCCTGAGACAGGACAGTTTGACCAGGACCCCACCCGGAGAGAACGAAGAACGAAGAACGTTGCTACGTCCTGGCGTACCATAGTCCAGGTCCAGCAAGGCCCAACGTCCTGGTTTGCCAAAGCCCTGGTCCATCAAAGCCCAAGTCCAACACGGCCCAATAACCTGGCTTATCCACTTACAGGCCCATCAAAGCCCAACGTCCTGGCTTATCAAAATTCTCGTTTGGAAAAGGGGGCTTCCTTTCGACGCCATCGCCGCCGCCACTGCCGCCGCTGCCGCCGCCGCCACCGTCGTCGTCGCCGCCGCCGCTGCCGTCGTCGTCGTCGTCGTTGACGTCAACGTTAGCGTCGTCGTCCGCCGCTGCGGCCGTCGTCGTTGAAAGGGGGAGGAGAGGGCGGGCGGCATGGGGGAGGAGGACGGAGCAGGAGGGAGGAAGAGATGGGTGGAGGGGGAGGGAGTAGGAGGCGGGAGGGGGAGGAGGAGGAGGAGGGGGAGGGGGAGGAGGACAAGCTAGGTGCGCTCGTGTCATATCTGACGTCCTACCCCTCCCACCCATCCTACCATGGCGTTGCTTTTCTCTATCCGCGGACGCGTGTGTAGCGGATCCTGAGGGCTCCGCGCGCGCGTGTCGTAGTGGGTGGGTGTTGCGCGTTTTGCGTGCGTGCGGTGCGTGTGTGCTACTTGCGTGGTTGTGGTTGGTGTTGGTGCTGATGCTGTGCTGTGTGGTGCTGGGTGGGGTGCTGGTGCTGGTTGCTGGTTGCTGGTGCTGGTGCTGGTGCTGGGCTGGTGCTGGTGGTGGTGGTGGTGGTGGTGCTGGTGGTGGTGGTGTTGGTACTGGTGCTGGTGCTGGTTGTGGTTGTGGTGGTGGTAGGTGCGCTCGCGTCATATCTGACGTCCTACCCCTCCCTCCCATCCCTTACCATGGCGCTGAATTTTTCTATCCGCGCACGCGTGTCGTAGCGGACCTGTGGCTCCGCGCGCGCGTGCGTAGTGGGTGGTGGTGCGCGTGCGTGCGTGCGTGCGTGTGTGCGTGGTTGTGGTGGTGTTGGTGCTGGTGCTGGTGCTGGTGCTGGTGCTGGTGCTGGTGCTGGTGCTGGTGCTGGTGCTGGTGCTGGTGCTGGTGCTGGTTGTGATGGTGGTGGTGGTGGTGGTGGTGGTGGTGGTGGTGGTGGTGGTGGTGGTGGTGGTGGTGGTGGTGGTGGTGGTGGTGGTGGTGGTGTGGGTGGTGGGTGGTGGTGGTGGTGGTGGTGGTGGTGGTGGGTGGTGGTGTGGGGGCGTCGGTGGTGGCGGGCGGATGGGCGCGCGAGAAAGAGGCCCGCGCTGGGGCGAGGACGCCATCCTGAACGACGGAGGCCAAACACCGATCCGAAAATGAGGCCCACGCTGCAGCGGGAGCACGATTCGGAACGATTCGGGAGCAGAAATTACGCTACCGAGGAACCCCACATACTTCATTTAAATCTTATGTGCTTGCTTAAGTTTATACTAGATGCGCAATCCTGCGTTCTCAGCCCTCGTCGCGAATGTTCCCGTCTGCGTCATCCAACGCCATTTTGCTTGAACCTCCTCCCTCTTCCTAGCCTTCTATCCTCCATCGAGGACAGATTCGAGCCAGCCAGCGGCCGCGGTGAGGGACCACCCCCTGCGCACCCTCTATGGTGTCGAGAAAGTGCCACGCCTGCTATGCCCTGGACGACCGTCGTGCATGGCGGCCGCGGTGAGGGACCACCCCCTGCGCAGCCTCTATGGTGTCGAGAAAATGCCGCGCCGGCTATGCCCTGGACGACCGTCGTGCATAGCGGCCGCGGTGAGGGACCACCCCCTGCGCACCCCCTATGACGTCGAGAAAGTGCCACGCCTGCTATGCCACGGACGACCGTCGTGCATAGCGGCCGCGCTGAGGGGCCACCCTCTGCGCACCCCCCGTGGTGTCGAGAAAGTGCCACTCCCGCCACGATCTGCGAGCGTGTCACGGATAGAGGCCGCGCTGAGGGACCACCCTCTGCGCACCCCTTGTGGTGTCGAGAGTGCCACTCCTGCCACGATCTGCGAGCGTGTCCCGGATAGAGGCCGCGCTGAGGGACCACCCTCTGCGCACCCCCCGTGGTGTCGAGAAGGTGCCTTTCCCGCCACGATCTGCGAGCGTGTCACGGATAGCGGCCGCGGTGAGGGACCAACCCCTGCGCACCCCCTATGGTGTCGAGAAAGTGCCACACCTGCTATGCCCTGGACGACCGTCTCGAATAGCGGCCGCGCTCGGGGACCACCCCCTGCGCACCCCCTGTGGTGTCGAGAAAGTGCCACTCCTGCCACGATCTGCGAGCGTGTCACGGATAGAGGCCGCGCTGGGGGACCGCCATCTGCGCACCCCCTGTGGTGTCGAGAAAGTGCCACTCCTGCCACGATCTGCGAGCGTGTCACGGATAGAGGCCGCGCTGCGGGACACCACCCTCTGCGCACCCCCTGTGGCGTCGAGAAAGTGCCACGCCTGCCACGCCCTGCGAGCGTGTCACGGATAGAGGCCCCCGCCTGATGGACCACCCTCAGCACACACCCCAGTTGGTGACCGAGAAAGTCCACTCCTGCCGCCAACGATCAGCGAGACGTGTCCCGATAGAGTCCGCGCCTGAGGGACCCCCACTGCGGCACCAGACCCCTGTGTGTCGAGAAAGTCCATTTCCCCGCCACGATCTGCGAGCGTGTCACGGATAGAGCCCGCGCTGAGGGACCAACCCTCGTGCGCACCCCCCCATGCGAATGACTATAGAATGTGCCGCGCCTGCCCACGCCCTGCGAGCGTGTCACGGATAGAGGGCCGCGCTGATGGACCACCCGCCTGCGCACCCCCTGTGGTGTCAGAAAGTGCCACTCCTGCCACGATCTGCGAGCGTGTCCCGGATAGAGGCCGCGCTGAGGGACCACCCTCTGCGCACCCCCCGTGGTGTCGAGAAAGTGCCACTCCTGCAACGATTTGTGAGCGTGTCACGGATAGAGGCCGCGCTGAGGGACCACCCTTTGCGCCCCCCCAGTGGTGTCGAGAAAGTGCCGCGCCTGACACGCCCTGCGAGCGTGTCACGGATAGAGGCCCCGCTGAGGGACCACCCTCTGCGCACCCCCTGTGGTGTCGAGAAAGTGCCGCGCCTGCCACGCCCTGCGAGCGTGTCACGGATAGAGGCCCCGCTGAGGGACCACCCTTTGCGCCCCCCCAGTGGTGTCGAGAAAGTGCCGCGCCTGACACGCCCTGCGAGCGTGTCACGGATAGAGGCCGCGCTGAGGGACCACCCTCTGCGCACCCCCTGTGGCGTCGAGAAAGTGCCACTCCTGCCACGATCTGCGAGCGCGTCACGGATAGAGGCTGCGCTGAGGGACCACCCTCTGCGCACTCTCTGTGGTGTGGTGGTGTGTGGTGTGGCGTGGTGTGGTGTGGCGCGATGTGGCGTGGTGTGGTGTGGTATGTGTACGAGCGAGAAGGAGGAGGTGAGGTGGGAACGCAGGTGTGACGCGGGTGTAGAGAAGGGGAGGTGAGTGAACGCGGGTGCGACGCGGGTGTAGAGAAAATCAGAACCCCACTTAGAATGTGGGGAATGAGGCCGGCGCCTCAGCGAGAGCAGCATTTTGAAAAAAGCGCAGGCGAAAACCGTCTCCCGGGAATCCTGTGTGTAGAAAACCAGTACGCGGGGGGGGGGGTCGGCCATCTTCGGGACGCCATCAGGGGAAGTGGGAGAGTATTTTCATATTGTGTAATTGTCGAGGACGAGGAGGGGGAGGATGAGGAGGAGGAGGAGGAGGAGGCGGAGGAGGAGGAGGAGGAGGAGGAGGAGGAGGAGGAGGAGGGGAGGGCGGCGGGAGGAGGGGGCGGTCCCTGGGGACGTTTGGGAGTTCTGGGCGGCTCAGCGGGGCTTCGGGCGGTCATGGGAGGGTGTGGCGGGAGGAGGAGCGCAGGGGGGGGAGGAGGAAGAGGATGACCAGAGAAAAGCCGGGCTGCATCAACGATGCTGCAGTACAATCGACACAGATAGTAAGGATGATCGGCTTCCCATGGGTACCCTTGCATGCTTGCCTCTTCGGTCATCTTCGGTCCATCCTCAATCACTTTCGATGGCCAGCCCGCCAGCCCCGCTCGAAAAGCTTCGGCATGAGCGTCCAAGGCCCTTGCATCCTTACCGCGCATCCTTACTCTCAGTTTTGATTGTACACCCTCCCGACCCCAGCCGCGTCCTGATAACTTCCATTGGGAAGTACCCCATTGATTGAAACTCAGGCGGGATCCCAGTCGTTAAAGGATCCACCACCTGTCCTCTCAGCCGAAAGAAACGCAAAGATGTAGTAGGATGAGAAAGTTCAAGGAAGTGTCCAGCGAATGCTCAGGCTTGAAAGGGTCTGGCCTCCATTCATGCAGATGATGCACCAGTTTTGCGCTCTGGTC